AACGTTAGATTTATAGCCTTTTAATTGATTTATACACTATGCTTTTGTAAAATTGTTGGGTAAAAATGGTTGTCAAGTCTGATTGAAATTAAGCAGCTTTAATTTGTAACTATTTTTCTTATTATGGTTCCTTAAAAACTTGATTTTTAATCTTTCGCTGCAACAATCTGGTCTCAGTTAAAAGAAAATTCTTGAAACCAATCTAGTTCTTTGCCAAATTCTTTTCTTAAGTCTGAGTACCTAGATAAATACCTAACAATACCTAGATGAATATATATTGCTAATTATACAATTATCGATACTTTATTGAAATAGTGTTTACAAGAAGTATATTAAAGTAAAATACACGTATAGCTTGAACTGTAGCAACTACTGGCTAGAATTGTAGAAGGATAATATTTCATATATTTGGGATAAAATTTCAAAGTTGTTAATAAAGTCCATTGCACAAGGTCACTGTTATAAGTTAATAATAAAATGTACATAAAAAACATATTATTATTTTTTGATAGCATTATTTAAGAAATGTTTGCTATTGTCTGAGCATACAAAAAATGTATTTAAATTTACAACATAACTTACAACATGAGTTTTTTTTTTTTTTAGTTACTTCTTCAACACAGTCTGTTTTTATTTATAAATTTGTGTAATTTAGTTAAGCCTTGTTATACATTTGTGTAAGTTAAAATTGTTAAAAGCCATATTAAATAAATAAATAAATAAATAAATAAATATATATATATATATATATATATATATATATATATATATATATTTATATATATATATATATATATATATATATATATATATATATATATATATATATATATATATATATATATATATATATATATATATATATATATATATATATATATATATATATATATATATATTGCGTTTTATACAAAAGTTGCACACTTCTAAAGAAATGACTTCAAAATAGGAAGGTGGCAGTGAAAAAACTTAATATATTTAGTTAGCGTATTACGCTTTCCTCTGACCTATCACTTGACCACTAAACGGTGCACATACCCAGAGAAAACAGGTAAATGAAGAGAAATAACGAGTGTACAATAATAATACATTATAAGTTATGAAAAAAACCCACAACTTATAAAATAAATTATATATAGATATATATATATATATATATATATATATATATATATATATATATATATATATATATATATATATATATATATATATATATATATATATATATATATATATATATATATATATTGCGTTTTATTTAAAAGTTGCACACTTCTAAAGAAATGACTTCAAAATAGGAAGGTGGCAGAAAAAAAATTTAAATATTTATTTAGCACATTAATCTTACGGGAAAATGCTCATTCTGGACCACTTAAAATAACATTAGACACCTCAAAATCATGTTTGATCACCGTAATAGAATTTCCAAAGGTTGGCTACTTGCAAATTAAAATGTATAATTTTTCAAGATGTAATTCATAACATGACAGTAGAGAAATTGTAATACAAAGTTTTGTGCCAATACTCTATGAACCAAATGTCTGTTATTAAGTTAAATCCGTATCAACATTTAATTCTCTAAATTCGTTTACATCCATTTACGAAACAACCAGATTCAACTTGTCTAATTTGTTGGCATGAGCTCATGAAGAGTTCTTGAAGGATGTGCAAGGACGGTCTACAGTCTTTTTCTTGGTCTGACATGTCCTTGCGCCAGACCAGGAATAAGAGCAATAATGAAAATAAATGCTTTAAAATGTTTAAATATACTTTTGATTGCAGCTATATTAATAATAAATGTCGTCATGATAGAAACTCGGAGATGATCATTTAAAGCAGATTGTTATAACGAGTGGATGTTGGCTATGTTTCACCAGTGGGTTACATCTGGGAATCGTTTAAAGGAATTGGTTGTCGCAACAGACATTGCTCCTTGTCACACTTGTTTGGAAAGAGTGTTTGAAAATTCACCAGCTCAGTTGATAGGTTTGGGCCCTACAGCCCATTGTTAAATCCGGTGGAAACAATCTGGTCTAAAATTAAAAGTAACCTAAAAAAGCGATTCGCATTCCACCAGTATTAGGTGCTGGGAATATGGAACAACGAATGCAATATATAGAAAGAATTGTTACTGCGGCAAAAATACAATAATGGGAGGTGATTGTGTACATGCTGTAAAACATACAAAAAAAAGCATTGCTCGACGATTTTAAAAAAGACGTCCAAGTTGGTGTTTAACTGAACATTGCAGTGATTTTTTTTTACAGAATTTTTTTTTAATTTTAATGTTTAAATTTAATTTAAATTTTTTATTTTTTTTGTAAATAAATTATTTATACTTTATTTTTTATTTACGAATAACTGCAAACATCCCATGGAATTTTTTCAGTACCGCTAAATTATATAATAGTTTTTCATGAACTTTTTATTTTATTAATACTTTATTATTTGGGGAATCTATAGAATACGTACGCAGTAAAACCATCCTTTTACGCAATTGCATGCTTTCATTAATTACCCCCCCCCTCCCCTCTCATTCCTATGCATATATCGTCACTGCAAAACAAAACTATCTTAAGTCCATTATTGGCAAAATTGACTTTTTTGGTTTAAAATACTCCTTAGGTGCACAAAAGTCATCTCACAAAGTATGGAACCAAAAATGATTCAACTTTTGTAACTATGAGTAAAACTCAAATATCTTATGTCCTAAAAAAATAATTAAGAGACATCGTTGCTGTACAACAAAACTATCTTAAGTCTATTTTTTGGCAAGAAAAAAAGCTTTTTTGGTTTAAAATACTTAACACATAAAGTAAATAACTAAAAACAAGTAGATTTAAAATAAGAAGTATTTAAAAAAATCAGAAGCAGTGATTAAATTTAAAACTTTAAATGTCTTTTTCTCTAAACGGACTTAAGATTGTCTTGTTTTGCAGCGGCAATTTTTTAAGACTTATCTTAAGTCCATTTGCTTCTTATAAACTTGTTGCTTCTTATAAACTTAAAATTTAATTTTTTATTTATTATATTATGAATAAATTATGAATAAATTAAATAAAATAATAACATATTCTAAAAGTATTTTAAAAACAATTTAGTTTAATGAAGAAGATCAAACGCAGTGATGAATTAAAAACTTTAAATGCGTTTTTCTTAGAACAGCAAAAATGGACTTAAGATTGTTTTGTAGCGACGATATATCCAACGCATATCTATGCAAATATATACAACCCATATCCAACGCATAATTTTTTCAAATTGTAAAAACAAAAAAATTTTAGCTTCTATGTTACATAACATGATATTGGTTTTAAAAACTCATAAAACTCTGTTTTTCTTAAAAAAAAAAAAAAAAAAAAAATCAAGTTTTAGGAGAGATAAAGAACGAGAGATAGTCAAACCGCGTACATATTCGTTCTTTTTATTTCCTCCTAATTCGGAAGTAAACACCGGAATGTTTTCGGGTAAATCCCCCTCTCCCCATACTTGCGTACCAAAGATGGAAACAGGTAAAGCTATCCAGCTAAAATTATTCAAAAAATTAAGGCCACAAAATTAGAAATACGAAGAACTTTGTTCTGTGTATCTATATTATAAACTTTTTTAAGTTACATGTCATGTTCTCAATTACATCTTACGTTTTTTTATTTACAACCTTCGTGATATCATCAAACACATCTTAAGTTTACAAATTACAATTTTCGTTTCTTAATTACATCTTACATTTCTTAGTAATGTCGCTTATTGGGCTAGAGCCGTCATCAAACCACAAATCTTTTGGTTCTGAACTCTAACTACTGTTAGAGTTTTTGCTCAGAACCAAAAGGTTTGTGGTTTGATGACGGCTCTAGAAAAAAAAGAAAAAAAGCTAAAAAGCTCATAAAAGCTCATTCTTTTTCTGTATCTGTCCCTGCAACTCTACTATCAGTTAGAGCTTCTGCAATTACATCTTAAAAGAGTGTAGTAAATGTAACCTTGATCAATTACTCGTTAAAAAAAAGACAGGCATCAGCAGCAATAAAATCTAAATGATATCAATACAAACTAATTGGCAAGAAAAAAATCAATAACAAAAAAAAAAGGTTTTTTTTAAAACATTGTTGCACCGTAAGTAATCTTTTAACGCTGTTTATAGAACTGAAAACGCCATAATGTTTAAGCAAAAGTACATCATTTGTATAAAACTATAACACCATTAACTATTTATAAATAACAAAAGTGCAGTTTGTTGAGCTCGATAATACCCAACACCATGAATAATTTATAATCAACATGCAGTGCTGTTTTTTTTAGTTCCAACAAATCTTTAGAATTGGTTGTCGGCGTTGCGTTGACATGTGGTTGGTTACAATTTTCAATTAAATGCCAATATTGGCATTTAATTAAAAATTGTAGCCCCGGACTTAAAACTAAATTTTAGCCCGCACAACCGTGTTTTACTTTGAATAAGAATTATTTTTATTAAAACAAAAATAAATGGGTTAAAAATGAGATGCAGTTAAGAATTTTCATGAAATCTAATCAGGAAAACAGAGGATTTTATAAACTTTGAAAAAAGAAGTTAGAGCAAATTGGAAGATCCATGATAATAACTTGGTTTAATGAGTTTTTTTCCCAATATGAATTCCAAGAAATCATAAAACTATGTGCGGCCAGTATAATGCCTAATTTGTAAAACATACATGATGTCAACATTGACCCTATGAGAAGCCAATCATGTGCCAACGCTCATGATACGCTGACGTACGGCAAAAAATAACAAATGGTCAAACAAAGATTGTGCCAGTTATACTGTGCAGCTTGTAAAACTTGTAAGTCTAAGTATATATTGGCAAGTTAATCTAAGTAAGTCAACTTTAGTCTAATTAAGTAAGTCTTTGCAATTAGATTTTAATAAGTCAAAGTCTTAGCAACCAGTTCTTAGTAAGAAAGTATAAATTATAATTTATAAGTAAGTAATATGAAGTAATATTTATTAATAAAGTAAAACTTACATCTACTAAAGAATATTCGTCAAAATTTTCACTTTCTCTTCCTTCTAAAATAAATATACAATTACATTTAGTACTTTTAATGAGTTTAAAATTTGATTAGAAGAAAAATACTATATAAAGTTATAGTTTATAAAAATAAGTTAAAACAAAAAAAGTTAGTGAAGCTGTTTACTGCATTCAAAGCAAAATGAACTGAAAATATTTTACTTTTATTTTATTTTTTACCCTTTTAATTAAAAAATGTTATGCTTTACAAAAAAATTCAGAAAAAAATTTTACTATTAGGATGGTGCAAAAGTAAAACCTTTAATTTCAAATTTTGGTTTTCAGCGAAGAATTTGTTACGTAAGAAATGCTCCATTGAAAGGAAGAAATAATAATCTATAAATGTTAAGTTTAGTGAATAGGTAGAATGCGGCTTGCAGGATGCGGTTAGACTTTTCAGTCTACGTCTATAATCGTTTCCTAGGTTCTCATTGCAGCATAAGTTAAGCATTGTCATGAAGAAATATTTAGGTTTTCCTGGACCTTTATTTCAAAATTTGTGCATTCGACCGTCTCAATTATATCGAGTACCATTCAACATTATTAATTTGCTTTGGTTTGAGCAATTCATAGTTTATTATACCTTTGATATCTCACCAAGCGCAAAAAGTTTCCCTTGAATGTTAAGTTTAGAAGACGCAGCTGCTGATTTGCAAGAACTCAACCACTATTCCTTGTTGGTTGGATTTTTATTATAAACCCGTTTTACATCCCCATTTACAATTTTCCTCAAAAAGTTCTTTTTTTTGTACCTTGCCAGATATAAAACTCAAGTGTTCATACACAAAACGTGACCATTAAAAGCATTCTTGCTGTAAATACAAATGTCTCTTTTGCTTTCGTTGCATTTGTAAAGCATTTAATGTCTAAAGCGTATGTTTTTAAGTGATGTTTTCGAAATTGCCAACTGCAATATAAAAATATAATCTTATATTTGAACTTATAGTTTTGAATGTATAAAAAAAAATATTTTTTAAAAACTGTATCTTTTATTTTTTTTATTTTTTGTCTGTATTTTTTTTTACAGAGTGTGTATCAAGTTCGTCTCTAAAAATTAGCAAATATACTTTTGCACCAACCTAATATAAAAAACTAAAAAATAAAGTTAATAAAATTTGAAGTCTTAAATGTGACGAATAATATTATGCTGTAATGATTGTGCCATTATGGAAACTGGACTAATAATAGCAAAATTTTACTTTTTTCTTTGAAGAAAAGAAAGCTTTTCTTTACTTACAATAAGTGTTTATGGTTGATGAATATATGTGTATACTGAAAAGTGGAACTAGCTATAGAAATGAAAAATGTTTACCTACTTGTTCTTCGTGAAATACGATTGTTTTTTTTAGATATACAGCTTTCCAAAACTCATATGATAAAAGTATGCCACACGCAATTAATGATAGAGCGCGAACTGTTACAACGCGCATTCTCCAAGCCAGTTTTACTCATGAAAGTATCAGTTTCTAGATAGCATTCAGGTAATTTGATTGCTAAATTAAATAGTATCATAAAATATATATAAAACTAAAAGTATGAGACATAAACGCAACAAAAAATAATGATATTATTTAAATGAAATTTAATCAAAAGTTTAAATTTGAGGTCTCTCAAAGGTCCCGATGATTCTCTAATTATGTTTTGGTAAAGAGGATGCAGTAGACATTAGAACTAAAACAATTAAACAGTATTGCTCTTAGTTTTGATTGAGCAAAATAGTAGGAAAGTATCCACGTTTTGAGTAAAAAAGCTGTACAAAAATTGTAACTATGAGACGGTACTAAATAGGTACCAAATATTGATATAGCATATAAGTTACCAAAAAAGATTAAAGTCAGGAAGCTTTTCTCACACCTCTATCAATTTTCTCAACTTTCAATATTCATTAAACTCTCATGATAAATCTCATCAATAAACTATTAAGTTTCGAGTATTCATTTTAGAAGTTAGGCTTTAGTGTTTTGTAGAAAATTATTATTAGTTATCATTAACAACGGCTGAGTTATTATTATTATCATTAACAGCAACTGAATCATTCTATTTTTTATGGATGGATAAAATTTCCTTTTTTTTTGACTACTTTATCCTTAAGAAGTAAAATTAACTACAAAAATATTATGTTAAGTTTTTTCTTGGTTTTCATAAAAACAGTTGTTTTAATATGTTTTAATATGTTTTAATATATATATATATATATATATATATATATATATATATATATATATATATATATATATATATATATATATATATATATATATATATATATATGTGTGTGATGTGTGGTGTGTGGTATGATACAAACACAATGAGTGGTATGTTACAAACACAATGCTCGAGAGAATGTGTAGAACTTAATGTAGGACTTGTGCAGCTCCATGCGTTTCCAATTATCATGCAAAAAGTAAATATTAATTTAAATTTTATGTTATTGTATAATTTAAATATATTCTTAAACTTGAATAATAACATTTTGTAATGTTTAATAATGATAAAAATAGTAAAATTTTTTTTATCTAATTAATAAAAAAATACGATGGTTTTAAAAACACAGGACATTTAGAGACCACTTCAAAAAAAAAATGGACTGATAGCGACCGTATTTTAAAAACTACACAAGGCTGTTAAAGGGATGAGCTTGTATGTCTGATTCGTTGCTTGAAACTTTGATGTTTTTTAAATTTAACAACACCTTATTAGGCTATTTAGTGACAGTTAATGCTTTTAAAATATAGTTAACGCTAACAACTAATATCAACATATTTTTTTATTATTTATATTAATTTTTTATCAACATGTTTTTAACTCAATAATGTTAGCATTAAGCAAAAAAATACATAAAAATAAAGAATTAAGAGTTTTGTATTTTCGTTTTTTTTATATTACTCCAACATTAAGGCATCAAAGGCATCAGTTTTGTGAGTCACAAACTTGTTGATAAATTTTATTTTACATTTTGATGCCAAAATATTTATATAAACATGTTTGTTAGTAATAGCCATATGTGTGACAAATGGAGAATATTCATAAGTAGCACCATATAACAGAAATTATGACTTCAACTGCATTGACTGCTCTATTTTAATTTTCTATTACACCAATTGAAGGTCTTTTTGGCTTATTTTGAAAAAAATGGAAATCGGTAAACAAGGAAATTGTCAATGTGGCTTGTGCTACGGTCAGGATAACTTTATGAGGCCATTTGAGTATTTATTGTAAAATAAAACAAAAATTTTCACTACCGGGTGGGAAATTGCATAGTGACTAGTTAGCAATATTCGTAACAATAGATTCAATTACAATTTAGCCTCTCGGATTGCTAGCTACAAAAGCTATAATTCTCATTAATTAATGCTATTACTTGTTCATATTATGTCATGTTAATATCATTATTACATAATAATAACTTACTTTCTTACTATAGTCGAAGACAGTTTTGTAAATTAATTTGACACAAAAAGTATCATTGCAATAAAGCGTCAGACCTCTTTTTATTCCAAAATTTTTTTATTTTTTGCTTGCAGTTATATATTTTTGTTTTGTTATTTTAGTAGTTTTATCTAAAACAAAGTTGATGTTGATAACTATAAACTACAATATGCAGCTATCAAATATATACAGATTTGTCATTACTTTATAGTTTACTACAATAGTTTAATAATAATAATCGATTGTTAAAAAGCTGTAGGGTAAATACCATAACTTTTTAGCTAGCAATATTAACTACCTCTAAAAAGCTGTACGATAAATACAATCGCTTTTTAGCTAGCAATATTAACTACCTCTAAAAAGCTGTACGGTAAATGAAATAACTATTTAGATAGCAATATTAACTCTAAACTTATAGTTATTTTTTAGCAAGCTAAAAAGCAACGATCAATCAACATATTGTTTTCTCTATATATATCTCGGTGGAAAATGAACGCCTAGCTAACGAACACCTAGCTTTATTGCAATTTTTTTAGCGAATTTTTTAGCGATTTTTTTATTTTACTTTTTACGTGTTAAAAAATTGATTTTTATTATTTTGATCTTTTAGGTATTAAAGTAGTTTAATAACGCGACTATTTTGTATTTTGTTGATTATTACTATGTAAATATTCATTTTTATAAAAACATTTTTTTGATTATGTAGTAAGATTATATCAAAAAACATTATCAAAAACATCATAAGTTGCTCTCAACTGAAATAATTTTATGGAAATATTTTTTGAAATCAAGTGCTATCAGCGATATAAGCCTCGTAGGCGCCCTACAACGCCACCCACAACTTTTTTTAATGTTTCTTCTTTTTTTTTTTTTAATATATATTTGCTCTTTATATAATAAGAAATATAATTACAAAGAAAGGTTTACATACAAAAATAGCGGATTTATAAAAAACAGGCAGGGGCTCAAAGTAGATACAGATGACTAAAGTCACCACAATCTTTTCATAGAACCCTTAAGTGGGCTTGACAAGTTAAAAAAAATAGGATCTCCAATATAATAAAAAGGTTAAAGCTTGCATAAATATTTCCATTAAATCAAGAAAGTAAATCGTATCATATAGTTTTAACAATATTCATTAAAATATACTGGCAGTTCTGTAAAATATCAAAATATGAGCCAATTAACACGTAAAAAAACTAAGAATAATGGAACTCGATTTTCATTTCGAAAAATCAAGAAAACTATTTATTTACTTTAAAAACTTCATTTTTTATTATAAACTTAAAGGAATTTAATGATTTTACAGAATTTAAATTTTTTATTTTTTGAAAAGTGTTCCATAGTTTTGGTCCGTGGTATGGTATTCCATATTCAGAATACTTACTATTAATTCTTGATAATTTATAAGTATTCCATTGGTTTATTCTAAGAGGATACTTTTTGTTTACATTTTTTGTAAATTTATCATTAAAGTTTTTTGGAATCAAGCTGTTGTTACATTTATACATAAAAGTTAGGTGTTGGTAAATGTTGATTTAATATATATTCATCATTTGCATGTCTTCCATTAATGGTTTTGCATGTTCATATATATTTTTTTATATATAAGTCTGCATGCATGCTTTTGTAGAGAAAATATTTTTTTAAGTTTTGTTGGTTGAGTACTAGCCCATGTGATATTGGCATATATATGAGACATGACTTTAACCTAATTTTTGTTATTCAAAACGCAAATTAAGTTAAAGGTGTGGATAGAAAATAAATCATTATTGAATCATAATTTAACTTTCAATTAAAAATAATTCAACCTATTTTTTTAAATCGCTACAAAACGTCACTTTTAGTTCTTTTTCTTTTTTTTTTTTAATGTTTTTTGAGTTTTTTTAGATTTATGTTTCGTTATCATTTTTGTTTGGCTTTGCCCTGGCGTTTTAGTCATTTTATCCTCAACTAAAACTCGATCAACAAGAACAGTATGCACGTTTAAGGATTTTTAAGTTGTTACTTTTCTAATTGTTTTAGGGGATTGAACTATTATACTTAGTGCATGCTCTGAAGAACCAAGTTTCAAAGTACCAAACTCGTAAAAATCAGGATTTTTGACTTTTTAACGGTTGAAAACTTCACTGATAAAAAAAGCTACTTGCAGGAAAATATCAGGGTTAAAGGGGTAGGTTACTGTAGATCTAAATCCTAATATGGCGTTTACTGGTGTAGTAGTACGCAGCGATGCTTTAGTAAATAAAAGCGGAAACTACAGTTTTAACAGTGACTGTCTAGAAAACTTTCCTTGAAATTTGTCAATGGCAACATTGCAGTAAGTTTTTTCAATATGTTCCAGTAAGTTTTTTTAAAGTGTTTTTAAAGGTTTAAAAACACTTTTGTTCAGAGAATGAAGTTCATTACTGCAATTCGTATGGATGATTAACGTTTTGACTTCCTCAATTACAGCAATATCTGCGATGCTCTTCAAAAATCAATTAAGCATTTCCTAGTAATTGATGCTGGTTAAAGTTGCGCAAATTATGTAAAACTTTATACGTAACATAATTTCCTATCAAGTGAACTTGATATTGAATATTAGTTGCATCTGGTGCAATATCTGCTGTCTAATTGCAATCTTTCTAACTCGACTTCTTCGACTTTTTCTTTAATATAATTCGTTCTTCTAAAAATCACTTACTCTTGGTCTGCAATACGAGTTATGATGCTCTTTAGTGAGGTGAATTTGTCATTGTGGGCCTTGGTATGTGGCCTCTATATGGCAATTAGCCGGAGGAGCATAAACCACAATACCTAAAATGACGCAAAAAAGTCCAAAGTTTTTTCTTTAGTAATATATTCTTTTGGAGTTATACAAAAAATACTTTCAAGGGACAAATAATCCCCGTACTCATGTTTTTTACCTTGATACAAGTAACGCCGTTGTTACTTAAACAAAGTTTTTTTTTAATATTTGCTTTTTCTGTTTAGTTATTTTTAAATTACAGTAGTTTACATTGAATTACAGGCTTTGAGCGCAATTGCAGCGCATATATACATAACCTCGATAAAAAAATCG